CACATTTAAAACTGGAATATAATTTAATTTCATTCACATAATCCTTTATGGATTACAATCCGCAATCAAAATGATACTTTTAATTATTCTGGCTGCTGTGAGAGAAGGCTATAAACGATCCGCCACCTGCAGGATCCTCAGTCACATGCGTGCGATAGCCTAGTAGCCGGGACAACTTCTTTATGTTTACAGATGTGACGTAATGACGTGGCAGCATGCTCGAATTCCCCGCAAAAACCTACCCGTACCACTCAAATTAGAAAACATTATTATAAGCTGACTGTTGTGAATCGGGCTAAAGTAAGGTGATAGTTTCGAACACTAGCTGGTTAAATACTTGCTCAAATATTGATTTCGGATAATTTTTAACCAAAAAAAGTTACGGACTGCCGCTTTAAATTAGATTTTTTTTTTTTTTTAAGTCTAATAAATGTTAAAATTGATAGCTCTCAATTATACTGTAATGTTGAATGGCAATAGTCAATGTTTAAATATTAGAAAAAAAGAACAATTTCCTAGAGACATCAGTAGTATTGGTATCAGTGATACTTGCCTTCAGTCATAAATAAAATGTAACAAAAAAAAAAATATATATATATACTGTCTTTATGTTGTTTCTACATTCATTTGAAGATTGAATGTGAAATTATTGCAATATAAAAGAATATTTAAAAACTTTAATGTTAGGTGGGATTAATCACAATTAATTTCAGAAAAAATGTGCGATTATTAGGGATGTAACGATTCACTCAACTCACGAATCGATTCGATTCACGATTTTTATTTCACGATTCGATTCACGATTTTTTTTGTTTTTTAACAAAATGAGATTTAAGACAAATTATAAATTAAATGTGTCCTTTTATTATTGCTTGGACAAAATGCTGCACATTTCTTTGTGAAATTTAAATATAACACTATAATAATATACTAATATAGCACTTGCATATTACTGCTCTTTTGTTGGTTTTGATTGCTTCTATTGTCCTCATTTGTAAGTCGCTTTGGACAAAAGCGTCTGCTAAATGACAAAAATGAAATATAATGCAAATGTAAATAACAAAACTACATTGAAATTTTAAAACAAGCCCCAAATAAAATAAATAACACAAATAAAATAAATCTCTTCATATAAACAAAATAAGGCTTTGTCTGTGCTCTTTCCATTTAAAATTAGAGGCAACCACTGCATTCTAATCTTGATCCAAACAAAGATGCTGCATACATGCAACATGAGCAATTTTTTATATTAATTAGATTGTATAATTTCAAAATCTGAAGCAACAACAGAATGGTTTGACTTCAGTTTTGTGAAACCATAAATAAAAATAACTGCATGAAACAGCAGAGCTGAATGAGACAAATGCAATAAAAATATCGGTATCGGTACTCGGTATCGGCAAGTACCAAAAATAAAAGTATCGGTATCGCGCGGGTACTAGAAAAAGTGGTATCGGTGCATCCCTATTAAAAAGCATTTGGGAAAGACAATTCCTTTCAGTACTCGAGCATGGTGTTCTGTGTGATCAGCGCGCGCACAGATAGCCGCATCTCTTGACACACGCGAGCCCCTGAACGGGGTATACATGCAAAAGTATGTCAAAATACCCGTCCTGGCAAGTAACTTTAACACCGTGTCTACACCAGACGCGAGCGGCGCGGCGCAACAAAATTCTGTAGAATCCATTATAATCAGCGATGCTGTCTACACTGGATGCGACGCGACACGACAAATCCCCGACAGTAATCTGCTGCCACGTTCTATTTATGACGTACTGACACAAATTTCAAATGATTTTTAACGGTTGCTTTGTCGCGTCCAGTGTAGACAGACTTTAGCTGTTGCAGCGCGATAACTGTAGCGTCCGGTGTAGACACGGTGTAACAATGATTAATCTATATTGAATTTATACACTGGAGTACAGATGCACCAATCGACCGTACATTTTTTGTTTTATTTCAGACTATCTTCTGTACCGTGCTTGCACACAAACTGCACTGCAATTATTTTCCCAAAGGCCATTTGTGTGGAAATATTACTTTATTATTATAATTAGTCTGTAAACGGCCGTTAACAGAGGCCAGAGATGCTGAAGATGGACACAAAGAGGAGAAAATACTGTAGCAGGCAGAACAAGATCACTGTTCACGATAGTCAACACAAAGAGGAGAAAATACTGTAGCAGGCAGAACAAGATCACTGTTCACGATACGCAAAATATAGGAAGAAAATCCAAATATTGAATTTTATATGAATGTGTTTCTGAGGGGAATGGAACTGACTGTTTTCAGAAATGGCGTTTTCTTTTCATTTTGTCTCGGTATGATGCATTTAAATTAGTGGTAATACGCACAGCGCTGCTGTGTTTACAGCAGTAACCAAGGAAACGCTGTATCACTGTTCCATAAGCGCCGACTGCTGTCAGAGTCTGCGTCTCATTCAGCCCACCTGCTGTCTCTGTTTTATACAGATGTTTTATGTAGCATAATTTCACAAAGCTAAAGTCAGGTCATTCTGTTTTTGCTTCAGATTTTGAAATTATACAGTCTAATATAAATCAAACATTGCACAATTTATGATTAAAATGCAGTGGTTGCCTCTAATTTCAAATGGCTATAAAAAAATCAAGGTGCAACACAGAGTGAAGAATATGCAATGTTATTTTATATGTGATTTTTCAATTTCTGTACCTGAACATCTGCAAACATAACCTAAAGCATCATTTCATTTCTATCTTTGTGCTATAGGCCTATATTTAATTGTGCTACTACTTAATTTGTTCATTTGTTATTATTTACAGGCTGTCACTTGTCTTTAATAATGTTTAAACTTTATATTTATGTTTATTTTTGGCTAGTGATTTTTGCTATGCTATCAAAATTGAAATAGAGAATTGTAAAATTTAATTGGTATCTAAAATATTGGTGTCATATAAGCTTATTTATTAGAATACAAGATAACA